TAAAGTGTCAAAAGCTTGCAAGGGACACATTTATTTTACAGAAGGCATTTAGTGATTTAGGATGTGGCCAGCAGACAGTTCCCCACTTAACCTTCGTAAAAAATCTCAAACCCAACTTCTGTAAAGCTGCTGCAGATGCATCTGCAAATCCCAGAGGCTGGAGGCGGGAGGCTGGTTGGTAGGTGAACCGGATGAGAAGAGCGGTCCCAGGAGGGGGCGTTCTGGGCCTTCGGACCTCAGAACGGGCGCAGGTTGTGGGCACTGACAGTGTTACTGGGTGTTTTCACTTCGCTTCAGGAGCAGCCACGCAGCGTGTAGGAACCAGTGCGAAACGAAAATGCAGGGCCTCTTGTCAAAAAGTTAAGAATTTTAAGATGAGAACATCATGCATTTGCCCAGGGTGGCGGGGGGGAGGGGGGTTGCTGTGTGAATGCACAAGCCACGCAGCCAGCTCTACTGCTTTAGAGGAACCTCAGGGGAGGTGAGAGAAACAAGGGAAGAAATGCTGGAGACTTCTCAGTGGGGGGCTGGGGAGAGTGTCTTCCTCAGTCTCAGAGAATGGGCGCTCCGAGTGGAGACAGGTGATAATCCCCGCAGATGTGCTGTTTTTATTTCTCCTGTTTCTTTTTTTCTTAAATTTTTTCAAACATGAATTCATTTTGGAGAGACAGAGTGCAAGCGGGGGAGGGGGCAAAGAGAGAGGAAGACTCAGAATCCCAAGCAGGCTCCAGGCTGGGAGCTGTCAGCACAGAGCCCGACACGGGGCTCGAACCTACAAACCGTGAGATCATGACTTGAGCCGAAGTCGGACGCTTAACCGACTGAGCCCCCCAGGCACCCCAGTTTCTCAAATTTCTTTGTTAGGAAGATGAGGCGATCTACCAGACTGCATCCGTACCTTGGTCATTCGTTCGTTCCTTCTTTTTTTCCTTTCTTTTCTGCAAGAACATTTGTAGAAAACTCAAAATAGTTGTTAATGTGAGGATAGAAATCGCGTGTTTGGAGCCCTTTCCACAGTTTGAAGGGTTTTTTTTTTTTTTTTTTTTCATTGTGGGAGTTGATCCCAGCCCCAGAATGCCTGGCTAGTCGGTCTCATTCGGTCCCCTTTTTTCCCTCACTTCTCTCCCCCACCCTGGCCACGGCAGCCGGGGCCACTTATTCAGACGACCGACTGCAGCCAGCCGTGGGCACGTGGCTGGTGGAAAGCCCGGGAAGCTTTGGAATGTACATACTCGTATCTACTTTCCCTTCTCTTTCCTTCCTGCCACTTTCTCTCCTTTTGGTTTTATGTCTGTTCTCATGCAGAATACACACCTACATAGACACACACTAACGCACGCCTGTCTGGTGGCCCCCAAAAAGACGGCATGGAAAGGGAAGTCCAAATTTATGGTCAAGACTGCGTGATTAGCTCGAGAGGGTGGGAGAGGCTGAGGATCTCCCTTTGTTGATGCTGCGGAGGCCCTCCTTCCCCCAAATACTGAAATGCTAACAAGGGAGCCACGGCTGAGAAGTACCAGCAGCTTCCGCTGCCCTCTTCCGGAGGCTGCTGGATGACAGACAGATACAGTGGAAGAGCTTGTCTGAAGGCTCGGCCTGCTGGCCTTACTCAGAAACTGCTCGGCAAACAGCGGATTAAAAGGGGTTTTTGTTGAGGTAGAGCAGATGGACAGGGAGAGGCAGAGTTCACATTAACTGATCATAAATCAAGACTCTGTCGTAGAAGGGAAAGATCTGGGTCTGGTCACTTAAAAGTTTGAGCTCATTTAATTTATTAATCTTTTTTCTTATTTAGAAGAGCCCCTCCTGCTTTTAAATAAAACAAAAAATCACTGAAGAATTTAGAAAATACACATGCCAGAGAAGGGGATAAATTCCCTGTGTCTCCAGGAAGAACCCCCTCCCGCCTTCCAGCAGAACCCTCCTCATTTCGTCCTGTGCCCTGCTGACATCCACACATCCACGCACACAGTTACTATGTAATAAGACTGGAAATACATGTTGCTCTCTGAGTTACAGACAAGAGAAAATTTGTAGCTAGGTCTCCCGGTTTGGGACACGGGCGGCGTGATCGTTTGGGTCAGTCCACCAACTTAAATTTCTGTAATAAAACCAAAGACGATGTGTGAATTTATGTTTGGGAAAGCCGGGGCAAGCTCAGGTGCAGGAGAAGTTCATGGGCACCGAGGGCCATGTTGAGTTTATGATCTTCCTTCCTTCAAGCAAACGCCTCCGCCTTCATAAGCTCCCCGGGAAGGAAAGGGGGGCTGTGCCTGTTTTTCCTGTTGTCCCCTGGTGGGACCAGAAGAAATGTTCAGGCAGGAAAAGAATTCTGCACTTGGGACTCTCTTTCCCTCATTTCTAATGCGGTGACTCTTTGTGTTTTCTTTTGTTTTAAAATTTTCTAATGTTTTATTTATTTTTGAGGTGGGAGAGGGAGGGAGGGAGGAGGAGGGGCAGAGAGAGACAGAGACACAGAATCCGAAGCAGCTCCGGGCTCTGAGCCGTCAGCACAGAGCCCGACGCGGGGCTCGAACTCACCATCCGTGAGATCACAACCCGAGCGGAAGTCAGACACCTGACAGACTGAGCCACCCAGGCGCCCCTCTGAGTCTTTGGATGGGCGCACGTCCTCTCTTCCCTGTGCAGGTGTTTCGACATAATGAAGGCTGCGGGCTGTGGGTCTCTCTCCAGGGTGCTAGGGCTCAGGCCCACCAGTTGCATTTAGTCCCACGTTTCGTGAAAATGCACATTAAACAGCCCTGTCCTGGTGTGAGGTGCGCACTCTGGGAGAGCCCAGAAGTCCTCACAGCAACTGACGGTCGGCCCAGCTCATCGCCACTTGCTATGTTCTGTCTAGAAGTTGTTATTAGCGTTCGTATGCTTTCCTTTTTAGTGTCAGTTCTACCGACTGTTACCATGACAAAAAAATTTTTTTATAGTTTATTTTTGAGACAGAGAGACAGAGCATGAGTGGGGGAGGGGCAGAGAGAGAGGGAGACACAGAATCCGAAACAGGCTCCAGGCTCTGTACCATGACAAAATTTAACTACATACAAGAATGAATGAAAATGAAACCCTACGGAACCTCCTTGAAACAGCTGTTTTGGTAGAGATCATTGGAATGCTATGGAAAGTCTCGACGGTGGGGAGCTATTAAAAAGATGCATTGAGTCGTGTGCAAAGTATAAAATGCTGTGAAAAACTGTAAACGTGTAGAGTTGTACACTTAAGATTATTTCGTTAGCGTCTTTAAGTTCCTCTTAAAACTAACGAAGCTCAAGCTAGGGATCCTACTTCGTGGAGTTGGGTGTTTGTTGAGTGAATGAATACAGGGACGGGGGAACAGATGAACGATCCCCGTTCCACTTCTGCTCTCAGTGCTGAGTAAAATTGTACTTCACTGAGGAGGACGGAGAGTCACTGCTATTATTTCCTTCGTCTCTTGGCTGACCGTTTATAAGTTAAATGGGCGCTTTTCTTTTTTTTTTTTTTTCTTTTTTTTACAAAAGGCCAATGACCTGAAGAGTTTACCGTGTGAGAGTTTGCCCCGTCCACAAAATCCAGGCCACCCCCTCTCTGGGCTTGCTCCTAGGACCACCGGCCCCGACCAGCCCTTCCCCCTCCCTGCTCCCCCCACGCAGCGCCCCTGGTCTTGCTGAAGGAGCTGCAGCCTGTGGCTACACGCATGCATGGGCTCCGGGCACGCACCACTTCCTCACATCTCGTGCCTTCCTCCCGTGGGTTACTGGGTACCAGTTCCTTCATCTGGCCATTTCCGGTCTCCCCTTTCCTGCAGAGTGTATGTTGACACCCTCCCTTAGCCCATCCCATCCAATTATTATTTGCCCATCACCCCCTTCCCTCCACTAGAATGTGAGTCCCCCCTTGCAGACCACCGGTCATACAGCAGGCGCTCCATAAATGGCGCTTGAGTGTTGAGTGCATGATCGGGGGCTTCTGTGTGCACGCTGGACTCCCCTCCATCATTTCACACGCTATTTTGCACTAACAGCTGCTGTCTGGCTCTAATTCTCACCAGCTCATGGGTTTGCAAACGACAGCCCAGGGGCCAAATTCAGCGCATTCCCCCCGAATCCCCCCATTTTTTTTTGGTATGTCCTGGGAGCCAGGAATGGTGTTTAGCCTTTGGTGGGGAAGTTGCTGGCTCAGTTGGGAACCGAAACTGTTCACTGCCTTGGCCCCACCGGCAAAGGCTTGTTGATTCCTGAAGGAGACCAGGCTTTCATTTTCTGGGATAAGGGGACTGTCTTGCATCTTTGAACTCCCGTAGCGTAGCTCTCAGTAAATGTTTTCTGGGGGGTTGAACCGAACTCACTTTATTACTATTTTTTAGTCTCTGTCTGGAGTCAGATGGTGGTGTGAATCCTGGCTCTGAGGGCTGTTGTGAGGAGGAAAGAAGGCATCACTATGTCAGTATCTGTACAGTGCTTAGCACAGGATTGGTGTTTAATGTTAGCTGTTACTCTTTATCCAGACACCTCGTGGAATGTATCGTCTGAGCACGAACACGTAAACGAAATATGTAGCAATCGCAAATTTTTACAAAGTCACTCATTTTTGGTTGGCTTCTTTCTTTCTGAGGGTGTTGAAAATTAAGAGTTGACCTTCTGTCCCACGGATCTGACTCTTAATTTTCTTCCCCATTTCCGTGCTGTTTTTTGTTTTCTTTTGAGGCTCAATGAATCTCACGGTGCCCACTTAGAAAAGCTTATACGGCACGGGTAAGGCAGAGGCCTCGAGTGAGGGGGTGAGTTACTCCCAGGGCTCAAAGAAGGGGAACTCGTTCCTTTAGCAGTCTCTGCAGCAGGTGAATCTCTCCTGAAGAGAGGCGGGCAGTGTTGATGCGGTTGGGTGGGCGGGGGGCACACCTGCTTCTGGGCGTATGGTATAGACTTTGCAGGCTCGTGGGCACTCTACAGAAGCATGAGGAATTGAAATGCGTTCATACATGATGTATCTTGGACGTTTCTTTGCAGGGACAGTGAAGGTGAAGAGCTCCAATATCCAGGTTGGAGATCTTATCATCGTTGAAAAGGTGGGTGGGGTTTGTCACGGACTGCCCTGTGAGTTTGTGTCAGTGGGAAGTCATTGCCACTTCTTGAATGTGAACACGTGACTCGTATATCTCGTAGACTAACTGATTTTCCTCTATAACTTTGCCTGGGGAGGAAAATTTTTTTTCCCATGAGACCTACACATAAAATGCTTTTTCAAGGTTTATGTGTGTTGGTTAGCCAAAAATTCTGCTTATAAACACAAGTACAAGGTTTTTTTAAAAACTTTACTTATTTTTGAGAGAGAGAGAGAGAGACCACATGAACGGGGGAGGGGCAGAGACAGAGGGAGACACAGAATCCGAAGCAGGCTCCAGGCTCTGAGCTGTCAGCACAGAGCCCGACGTGGGGCTCGAATCCACGAACCATGAGATCATGACCTGAGCTGAAGTTGGATGCTTAACTAACTGAGGCACCCAGGCGCCCCTAAGTTTTGATTTCCTATTTGATGCGTCTGTTTTTTTTTTTTTAACTTACTGTAAAATCTTTCCCAGAAGTCTGCTTGCTGCGTAAGCACATAAAAATCTCTGTCATTTACTGTTTGAGCATTTTTAGCTTGCATTTTGTGACATAAACAAAGTGCTTTCCTGTCGTTTTGTGGGGAGATGGGGTTAAGTGTAATACGAGACCAGTAAGGAGGCCAGAAAACACATTTTTAAAAATAGCGCCCTGAATAAATGTTTGCGACTTTGGCCCACACTCCTGTCTTTCCACTGTCTGGAAGGCAGCGAGTTTTGAGGCTGGCTGGAGAGCCTTGGAATAATATTTGATTGGAAAAGGATCGAATTGTAATCGGTTTCTGTAGGAAGTGAACTGTGCTCTTTGAAAAGGATTAAATCCAAGAACTCAAAGTCGATTTGAGGGAAAGTGAAGCTCTTCTGGGTGGCAGCTCGGAAGAAACACACAAACGCTTTCTGTTATTACGTACTTTTCTGTTCATAATTAAAGGAGGGCCGCTTGCTGGCTTACGGGGTGGGTTTTTTTTTTGTTTTGTTTTGTTTTTGAGACTGTTGCTTCTTTCTACTCGACTTCCTTATTAAAATTCCACCCAAAGCCAAACATCAAGCCAGAAAATTGGTAGGAGAAGAAAGCGTGAGCGGAGCGTGTGTATGGCTTTAGTTTCAGCGGACCTCCGGGAAGAAAGGCAGCCGGGTCGCGGGACGCCCAGGCCCTCTGGCAGGAGTGTCAGCAGCTAATGGTCGGATTCTCCAGGAAACTAGCTCCCTTCCCGAGATAAGGGTTCAGTAGTGGATTAGGAAAGGAACAGCAGTGCGCGAGACTTTTCGGATCCAAAACCAAATAAATCCCCAAATCTGCCCGGGACAAAGGCAGAAACTTAAATGAGGCTGTGGGTTTTCGACGGCCCCCCTCCCCACCGACGGGGGCTGGGGGGCGGGGAGCGGAAACCCCACACACGGGCGTTCACAGTAAGTCTTTCTTTCATTACGCAGAACCAGCGGGTCCCTGCTGACATGATCTTCCTGAGGACATCAGAAAAAAACGGTAAACATCTGGGATCAATTTTGAAAATAACCATTAACCTTTCAGCGGTAATTTGGCAAAATAATCATTTGAAAATGGAACAGAAGTAGATGATCATTTTGGAGCCATGGAGGCAAATCAAAAACATCTCTTTTAATAGAGCAGTCTTTTGGGGGGAAAAAACGTCCTTGGCGCTCACAGCTCAACAGAGTTGGATCATCAGCGCCGAGTCTCAGCTGGTGAAGTGACACTCACAGTGGCCGCGATTTTCCACTCTGGGCTGCCGTTCGGCTTCAGTTCAGGGCTTGGTGGGATACGGAATTGGGTCTAACACGTAGAAGAAAACAGAAATCCTCTCTCTTCCGAGAAAATACCAGATGTGTGGCGGGGAAGCTGGGGAGAGAAGTAGGTGGCCTGTGGGGTCCTTGGCTCATGAGTGACGGGGCCCTGCCTCCCATCACCCATCAGTGTATTTATTGTCACAGCCCACTTGGGCCTGAGTAAGCTGCTCGAGGCCCTTACAGGACCCTGCTCTGGGCAGTTTATTTGCCGGCCACACCGGCACCACCACCGCCGGCCCACCCCCTCCATCTGCTGACTCTAAGCTCCTTTTTAGTTTTTGTTACTTAAGCTGTTGTGAGGCAACGTGGCTGTTTTCCTTTTGCCTACAGGCACAATCAGATCTTTGAAAAAAAAAAATCACATTTATATTCCTTCGAGGTTGCCGCAGCCTATTTTATTATCAATCAAATAAAAGTATAGATGAAACTTTATACTAATAATATATTTATGAAGCCCAGAGGCGGGGTAGAAGGCACTAGGTTAAAAGTCGTGTTTTGAAATCTGCAGCTGTGTCCTCAGTCAGCTCTTCCGACCTCACCAGTGAAGATAGAGCATTATGGATTAGGGGTCCCCGAAGTGTTTCCCCCCCTCACTCTCCAAAAAAGAAAAGATTCAATATGTTTTTCCTTTTTTCTTATTTATTTTTATTTTGTTTTGTTTTAATGTTATTTTTGAGAGGGAGAGACTGGGGGAGGGGCAGAGAGACACAGAGAATCCAAAGCAGGCTCTAGGCTCTGAGCTGTCAGTAAAGAGTCCAACATGGGGCTCGAACCCACAAATTGTGAGATCATGACCTGAGCCGAGGTCTGATGCTTAACAGACTGAGCCACCCAGGTGCCCCCCTCCCTTTTCTTTTTTTTAAAGTTTATTTATTTTGAGAGAACATGAGCAGAGGAGGGACAGAGAAAGAGGGAGAGAGAGAATCTCTGACTCGGGGCTCGAACTCATGAACTGTGAGATCATGACCTGAGCCAAAACCGAGAGTTGGATGCTTAACCGACTGAGCCACCCAGGAGCCTCAGACATGTTCTTCCATAAGAGCGCCCAGAGGTCTTGGCTGCGGTGTCCACGAATTCAGCCCGTTCGGGGTCTGATGAAGTCACAGGTAAATCATTGCTGAGACCTGCACATCAGACTGAAAGAGGCGCCCGTGTGCGAGTAGGTAACAGAGCAGGTCCCTTCTAGCGCCTTCTGTGTCCTAAGCAGTCTGGCGCGATCAGCTGCGGAGCCCTCAGGAGCCCTCCCTATGTTAGGCTGCTGCTGTTCTGTCCATTTTTGCAGTCAGGGAGACTGAGGCCTAGGGCATGCAGCTAGTACGCGGTGCCGCTGGGCTTGGGTCCAGGGTCTGGTTCCCGATAAGGTGTGGTGTGACTCCTGCTCAGAGTGGCCGGATGCACTAGCTGCCTCACGCCAGCCACCGTGCGGGGTTCCGTCACCCCCAGGCCTTTGCAGCAAAGCGCTGCGGGCTGCGTTTCTCCCCATCTTACAGACGGGGCCTGCTGGTGTTTATTTGGCAAGGTCAAGGAGCAGGCCCCGCCTCCTACTCTGAGTGGACGGCGGAGTGAGGATTTGAACCCAGACCTTCCTACCTGAGAGCTTATAGAGGAGGTGGGAAACGGGGTGTTTCTTTTCCCTTTTGGCTGCCGGCCCTTGGTTGGAGTTTTACAAAGTCCAGAGCAGGAACGACCCAGAGCTGCCGAGGGGTCGACGGCGCCCACCTTCCTTCCACAGGGTCGTGCTTCCTGCGGACGGATCAGCTGGATGGTGAGACGGACTGGAAGCTTCGGCTCCCCGTGGGCTGCGCGCAGAGGCTCCCCGCCGCGGCCGTGAGTAGCTTTCCCGCACAGACACAGCCTGGCAGCCATGTCCCTGCGGGGCCCCCCGACCCGGGTGTCCTGCACATGCAGAGCAGGGTGCGGGGCGTCAGGTGCGAAGGAGGGCCGGTGGGGGGGGGCATCCCCGGGAGCCCCCAGCGCCTGTTCTTTCAAGTTACTGTGTGAAGTACAGTGGGGAGCTCTTTGCAGGGAAGCTCGGAATTTTTTTTTCTTTTAAGTTTATTTTTTTGAGAGTGAAAGAGAGAACTGGGGAGGGGCAGAGAGAGAGAGAGAGAGAGTCCCAGGCAGCCTCCACAGTGTCAGTGCAGAGCCCGACACAGGGCTTGAGCTCATGAACTGTTAGATCGTGACCTGAGCTGAAATCAAGAGTCAGACACTTAACCGACTGAGCCCCCCCAGGCGTCCCAAAGCTCAGAGTCTTTTTAAAAAAAATTTTTTTTAACATTTATTCATTTTTGAGAGAGGGAGAGAGAGAGTCCAAATGGGGGTGGGGCAGGGAGAGAGGGAGATACAGAATCGGAAGCAGCTCCAGGCTCTGAGCTGTCAGCACAGAGCCCGATGTGGGGCTCGAACCCATGAGCAGTGAGATCATGACCTGAGCAGAAGTCAGATGCTTAACCGACTGAGCCCCCCTCGCGCCCCTGGAAGCTCAGAGTCTTAAGAAGCCCCGACAAGCTTCCTAGCAGGAACCTAGGAGGTCAGGTGTATCGTTTCTCCACTTGGAGCTTCTGAAGGCTGCTTGTCATACTCAGAACTGCTGTGGGCCTCGCCGCTGTTGTCCCCAAGCCCCATGACCTCAGTCTCTGTGCCGGAGCCCCAGTGCCCACCGGTGCCGGCTCCCTCCTGATCAGGCCTCCTCTGCCTCTGAGTGTTTGCTCTTGCTGTTTCCGACACAGGGGACAGGCAGACCCCAGTGGCTGCCTGGGCAGATGTCTCCATTCCACCTCCTGGGTTTTGTGCTCAAGTCTCCTTCTCTGGGAGGCATTTCCTGGCCGCCCCACTCGCTTCAAGGCAGTATCTCCCAGAGCAGAGTTCTGCCCAGTGTGTTCACTGCTGAATATCCTCTGCATGGAACAGTGTGAGGAACAGCATGGTGAAGTGTGTGGGACAAAAGCCAAGCCCTCTCTTGGGGGGTGGCCTAAATAGAACCAGCAAGCTCTCAAAGTCCTCAAGGCCCCACACTTCCTCATGAGTCCCATGTTACTCATGTTGTGATCTGTAAATGGAGGGGGGACAGGGAGCCAGAGAGTAAGTTTAAACACAAGCCACATAGGTTGGATGTGGCCCAAGGACTAGGTTACAAAGTCGCAAAATGTAATTGAAACACCCAGAGAACAACAGTGGTGTGAGAGGGTTGGGCAGACCGTGTCAGCTTTTCCTGGGCCAGCAGCCACTGTAACGGTTCTGTGTGTGTGTGTGTGTGTGGGGGGGCAGGACAGTGTCCCTGCAAACCTGCCCATAGACACGCCCACCGTACTAATGACTTTCCATAGCCAGCGACAGCGGAAATAACGCCAGTATTAGTATTTATTTTTAAAAGAGGCATTCTACAGTAGCGAGTTTCTAACCATGGTTAGGAGCCCCTGGGAATCCTTAGAAGGCACTCACCTGCCCCCAGATGGAGTTAACCTAATGAGAGGGTTCTGATTTTTCTGCATGATGCATTTTGAAACTTTTTAAAAAATGTTTACTTCTTTTTGAGAGAGAGAGAGAGAGCATGAGCAGGGGAGGGGCAGACACAGAGAGTGACACAGGATCCGAAACAGGCTCCAGGCTCTGAGCTGTCAGCACAGAGCCCCACACGGGGCTCGAACCCACGAACCGTGAGATCATGACCTGAGCCGAAGTTGGATGCTTAACCAACTGAGCCACCCAGGCGCCCCTGGGTGATGCATTTTAACTTCTTGGTAGGATTTCTGCAAAGAAAGCTTTAAGATCCTCAAAATGATTTGAAGGGTTCTCTTTAAGAAACAGTCTAGGGGGCGCCTGGGTGGCTCAGCCGGTTGAACTTCTGACTTCAACTCAGGTCATGATCTTGCGGTTTGTGAGTTTGAGCCTCACGATCGGCTCTGTGCTGACAGTTTGAGATGATCTGTCCCCCTCTCTCTCTGCCCTTCCCCTGCTCATGCTCTGTCTCTTAAAAATGAAAAAACAGTAATAAAAAAAAGTCTAGAAGAGCCTAGAATCATGAAGATACTTGACTGTCAGCTGCACAGCATTGCATTTCCTGTGTGTGCTTTGGACATGTCAGTTTAACACACGCTTGCGTCTCCCTCCCCCCGTGGCTCAGGTCATGCTCTCACAGCTCAGGAGTTCAAGCCCTGCATTTGGCTCCATGTTGACAGCGCAGAGCCTGCTTGGGATTCCCTCTCTCCCTCTCTCTCTGCGCCTTCCCTGCTCACACTCTCTCTCTCTCTCTCTCTCAAAATAAATCAACATTTGAAAAAATTAAATTGTATGGAATGCCCTGGAGGAAAAAGTGAACCGTCTCATTCGTGCCCTCTACCCCACACCTTACCCGCTTTCCCCGGGGGTCACGGGAAGTCGGTGGTGATCTTTGCAGACCTTTGTCAGCAAAGGTACCTAATTTGCTTTGTCAGCAAAGGTACCTGCAAGCTTGTTGGGAGGGAAGGGATCCGCCTGTATTTGGCCCTCTCTGCTTTGGCTGTGTCTCAGTGCCTTTTCTTACTAGTACATAGAGGCCGCAGAACAAAACACATCTGCATACGGGGTCTCCTGGCTGGTTAGGAGAGGGCTCAGACCCTGCCTGAGGGGGCGGCCAGCAGCCTCCACCCCACTCCAGACCCTTGTCGGCTCGGAGTATTGTCCGAATACCGGTGGTATCAGGTCCTGACCACCTGATTGGAGATTTTTTTTTTCCTAATTTTTTTTATTGTGGTAAAATACACATCAGCTTTACCATGTTATGATTAAAATTTTTTTTAGCGTTTATTTATTTTTGAGAGAGAACGAGAGAGCAGGGGAGGAGCAGAGAGAGAGAGGGAGAGAATCATCCCAAGCAGTTGTCTGCCCTGCCAGTACAAAGCCTGGCGCGGGGCTCAAACTCACAAACCACGAGATCGTGACCTGAGCTGAAGTTGGACGCTCAACCGACCGAGCCGCCCAGGCGCCCCCCGTTTTATGGTTTTATGATCCTGCGAAGCTGAGACTCCATGCCCATCAAACAGAGCTTCCCCATCGCCCAGCCCCCGGCAGCCACACTGTTCTTTCTGTCTCTATGACTTTGCTCCAGGGACCTCTTGTAAGTCACACAGTATTTGTCCTTTTGTGACCGGCTTACTTCCCTTCGCATAATGTCCCGAAGCTTCACCCACGCGGTGGCCTGTGTCGGAACTCCCTTTTTAAGGCTGGGCAACATTCCATCATATATATACACATACACTGCATTTCGTGTATCCATGCGTCTTGTGTCTATTCATGGACACTTGAGTTCATTACCATCTTCTGGTGATTGTGAAAAATGCTGCTATCAACATGGCAGTTTGTTATCTTTGAGACCCTGCCTTCATTTTGCAGCAAGTGGGTTGCCATTCCTATGGTAATTCTCTGGCGGAAGTTTTTGAGGACCCGCCATACTGTTTTCCCCAGTGGCTGCACCATTTCACATTCCAGCCAACAGGTGCACAAGCTTCCAATCTCTCCACATCCTCGCCAACACGGTTTTCTGGTTTTTGGGTTTTGTTTTTTAACATTTATTTATTTTTGAGAGAGAGAGACCGAGTATGAGTGGAGGAGGCGTAGGGAGAGAGGGAGACTCAGAATCCGAAGCAGGTTCCAGGCTCCGAGCTGTCAGCACAGAGCCCGACACGGGGCTCGAACTCCTGGGTCGTGAGATCACGCCCCGAGCCGAAGTCAGATGCTTCACCGACGGAGACACCCAGGCGCCCACTTTTTTCTCTCTTGAGAGTAGCCCTCCTTATGGGTGTGAGGTGCTCTTTTTCGCTTTTCACTCCTCTGCCTTTTCCGCGGCTTTACACAGAGAAGGTGCCCAATAGCCGCTTGTTGACTGAGCGAGTGTTTTCTTTGGTACCAACGGCTCCTGTAAACCGCAGCGCGGCAGAACCAGCGTGGGGAACCCTCGGCGAACACACAGAAACCGGCATCTTCACAGCCGAGTCTGTGAGGGAGTCTTGGGATATTGTGTGTAGTGACTCTGAAGCTTCTCGAATAGAAAAGTCTTCTTCCTTCTCCCACCTGCCCTGTAATTTTTGAGAGCCTCTTTGCCATCTGGGAGCCACCATTGTTCCTGGAAACAAGTGGGTGCCTCCCGACGTCCTCTTTTAAACAAGATTTTTGTTTTAACTCCAAACTGTTACCTCTGTTGAACAGGACCTTCTTCAGATTCGATCATACGTTTACGCGGAAGAACCAAATATCGACATTCACAACTTCGTGGGCACTTTTACCAGAGTAAGTAGGCCTTGCTCACCGTGGAGTCCTGCCTGCCTTCGAGGCTGTGCTGGGGACAGAGACCTGCACACAGGTGGTGACGGGGCTTTGTCAGGGAGTAGCTTTCCTCCAGGTGGGGGTGAAATTCCCTGAAGAAGCACCCCCTCTCCCCGCCCGGTCTTGGAAGCTGACATGGTGTTTCTCAGGGAGGTCGGCCCAGCTAGATTTTCTTCCAGCCTCTGAACAGCTTGAATTACCTGACAGCTCAGAGCCGAGCGTGGTTATAACTGGTGTTAAAACTCTGTGGTCTGAAAGCACTTACTCTTTCTGTCCCCTTCGGACGCTTCCATGACCTCTTCACACCCGCACAAGCCCCGTCTGGCCCCATTATAATTTTTTAAGCCACTTCCCAATTTTTCAGAATACAAATTAAATCTGGACTGAAATTATTCGAAGAATTTTGGGACAGGAGGTTTATAGCCTCCAAATTAAATTCACGGTCTCCTTCCGGAAGCCATAGGCCCAGCCAGCAAAGGGCTGTGTTTGTTTGATTGGCTTCTCCGTTTTATTTCCAGCCTCGTAAGGCATTTCTTCAGCATTACAAGCCTGTCGTTCAACCACAAACCGCCCTTTTCATGATCACCGTGGGATGACAGCACCGAGGCCGGTGGTTTATTAGCTTGGCCTTCTCCCCGGGCTGAACTGTAGGCTTCCCGAGTAGGGATCCTCCCCTCTTCCCGTCTTGGGATGAGCGAGCTGGAAACGGCCCGTGGATTGCGCCCCAACCTCGATAGATGAACACGTGTCCATTTGGTCTTTTCCAGGAGGACAGCGACCCTCCGATCAGCGAGAGCTTGAGCATAGAGAACACGCTGTGGGCCGGCACGGTCATCGCGTCGGGTAAGGGCACCCTGGCCGAGGAATGTGGTAGCAATTTGAAAAGGAAAGAAAATCCTTGTGTGTAATTAGAATAATCATCTGTCAGTTGGGAAAATTAGACGTCGGTCAGATGGTGTTTTCCACTTGCTCCCGCCCCTTGGGGGAATCGAACCGGCATGTAATTGGCCCGCGGACACTTGCGGACGTCTGTGAGGGCCTGCTGTGCCGGCCGACTTCTCTGCAGCGTCCACTCCAGGAATAGCCCTTAATTGCCGCCCGAGATTGACATTCTAATCTGTACCAGAAATTGGGTCAGCCGGGGCGTTCTGGCCGGAAGTTGTGTCTCTGCGGGCTGCCAGGCCGGCCCCATCGGTCCAGAGGCACTGGTGCAGGAAAAGGCTGGGGGCCTGAGTCGGAGCCATGGCATGGACATCGGTGCCTTTTAGTTTTGAGCACTGGGATGACACCAGGCCGAAGAGGTTCGGGGGCTGAGCAGTGCCCGCGGCAGTAGCAGCCGGACTTAGTGGGGCGCCTCCCGCCTCTCAGGCACTTTGTCGAGCCCTTTATGTGCATTACACATTTCACTTAACCCTCCCAACGTTACCATGAAGGAAGGTGCTGGTATGATTCCCATTCTGCAGATGAGGAAACTGAGGCTCCGTGAGGTTAAGTAACATGCCCAAAGTCACACAGCAGGTAAAGGGCAAAGTGGGGACTTGAACCAAGGCACTTTGCTCCAGAAGCGGAACTTACAGGGCAGTGGTGGTTACTCTGTTACATATATTATGTAATAGTATCCACTGTTATTCGCTAGTAATTATACTGTTGGCAACTTTCTGTCTTTGCTGTTGGAAGATCACTTTTTCCCTCTTCAGGCACATCTCCCTCCCACCAACCAGTTTTCTTCTGCTTGATGCCACCCTGTGGCTCTTTAGTACTGCAGATGCTCGGTCAGGGTCCCCTGCGACAAGGCCCGCCGATGCCAGCACAGATCAGTGCAGACTACACACCGGGCTGCGGGCTCCGCATCCGCAGGGGCACCGCTTCATGCAGATAGAGATGAGCGTCCCCTTTACGTCGTCTGACATTTTTCTTTCCCGCTGCCTGCCTGTATTTGCAGCATAATCTGGGCCGGGCCTCAAATCCTCCTGATGACTAAAGAAGTGAGAAATGGGCCCTTAAGTGTCAGCGTGGCCACTGGGCACTGCCAGCCGTACCTGGCCAGGCCCGAAGCCACGCCCATGTCCGAGGCCACACCTAGGCCCGTGGCCACGCCCACCACGCCGCCCTTCCCCTCCCCCTCTCCCCTGGCTCCTGTGCAGCCCCATCTCTCAGAACTGGTTTCCTCTTCCTTCCCAGTCTTCCTCCACTTTGAAGTCATTTGTTAACAAGTAATTATTCTTTATTTTAAAATTTTAATTAACTTGAGAGAGAGTGTGGCAGCAAGAGGAACAGAGTGGGGGAGGGGGGAGTCTTTATCAGGCTCCACACTCAGCTCAGAGCCCAATGTGGGGCTTGATCCCATGATCTGAGCCGAAATCAAGAGTCAGTCACTCAGTTGACTGAGCCACCCTGGCGCCCCTAACATTGCAGTAATAAATACATGCTCACACGTCTAACTGGTTTTATCCTGGGGATTTTCTTCTTCCTGCCTGCCTTCTTTCCATGCAGGGAAAAAAAAAAAAAAAAAAAAAGCAGGCCCAACAGTATCAGTGAGGAGCCAGTGCAGGCCTGAACCCATAAACCATATTGTGTCCTGAGCCAAAGTCAGACGCTTAAGTAAGTGACCCAGGTGCCCCTACAGGACTTTTAAAATTGTATTTTAAGTACAGTCTACTCTCCAACATGCGTCTTGGACCCACAACCCCAAGATCAGGAGTCACATGCTCTGTACCAACCGAGCCGGCCAGGCGCCCCCAGAAAACTTTGATCAGGCGCCTCTGCGTCATGCTCCACACTGTCGCTGGGCGCTAGCGCTGCAGGGGCATGCCGGGAAATTCTGGCCCCCAGCCTTGTGGTGTTTCTAGTTTACTCAAACTTAATACAGATTTTGATTTTGAGGGGGACGGGTCTGAGATAGAAAAGGCTTTTCAGCCTTGATCTCAGAGATGAACAGTAAGAAGTCTTTTATTTATCAGATTCTTTTAGTTACACAGTGTTGGGCTGCCATTCTCTTGCTTTGGCCTCACAGCATTAAATGAGGATTTAATGGGACAAAGAAGTGAGCCTCAGAGAGGTTAAGCAACTTGCCTAAAGTCACACAGCCTAGGAAGTCATCTCCTGGGAGGAAGTGAGTGGAAGGCAGGTTGGGATCTTGAAGATGGGAGAAGACATTTCAGACAGTGTGAGTGGCGATGTGGGAACAGAGAGAGCGGTGGTTGCCACGGTCCTGGGGAAGCACCTGCCAGGCGCTTCCGCAGGCACAGGTTTTCGAGTGAGTCCGAGAAGCTGGACATTTACCACTTCTTTAGCTGGCCTCCGTTCCCCCTGCTTCTCCGTGAGTAGTTCCCTGACTGCATTCTGGTTCTAGTGCAGACACGAGGTTACACGCAAGGCGTTTCCTTCCTGGTGCTCAGCTCAAGAAACAGCCGTGATTACTTGTCTGACCTCCTTAGACTCTAACTCCTGTGTTTTGGTCACTCTGCTGTTCTCACCTGAAAGTTTAAAAAATAAAAAAAAACTTGCCAGGCAGCGCTTAGGGTCCAGCTGCAGTGGCTGGAGCCAGTCTGTAGAGGATGCAGTTGCCACGGTAACCAGACACCGTGCTGCCCGGTGGAGGAGTCACTGGGGTGAGACAGGGAAGGGGTGGGGGAGGCGTGGGGACTCGGCAGAGCAGGCGGCCCGGGTGTTATGGAGCCCGGGTCGTCGCAGACGCTCCGGCCCGTTGTGCCACTGCCCCCACCCCGGCCGGCACACCGATCCGCAGCCGCGGTACGACCAGCACGCAGTCACGCCGCGTGCGCCTTGCCGCGAGGGGTCCATCATGCCCTAGACCCCGCTCGGCGGGACTCCCGTGGTTGCACGCTTGAGTGCAGCAAGTGTCTCACTGCTCTAAACGTTTCTGAAGGCTCGCTCCCGGGCGGGGGGAGCATTTCTCCTGTCACAGACGGGGGACAAAGGGGTCATAGAGTAGCGCTGACCCCAGGACCACACTGTCGTGGAGACTTAGGAAGAACCTCGTGTGATACCCGACCGCGGCGGTCTGAGTTGGGGAAGCCAGCTGGCCGAATGGAGAGGCTTCTGACTGTGCGGACAGATGGCAGAGGGTGACAGTACGGAGGGACAGCGGGGCTGACAGCACAGGGGCGGGGGGCGGGGTGGGTGGTGGAGAGGCTCGGGTCGGAAGGTCTCGAAGGGCTTGAGTGGGCCGGGTGGGGACCAAGACGAGCTGAGAGCCTGCCCCTGGCCGAAGGGATGGCACCTGCTGCTAAGCCGGTGACAAACATGAGCAGGGGAGGGGCAGAGAGAGGGAGACACAGAATCTGAAAGAGGCTCCAGGCTCCGAGCTGTCAGCACAGAGCCCGACGCGGGGCTCAGAGCCCACAAACTGCAAGATCATGACCTGAGCTGAAGTAGGACGCTTAACCGACTGAGCCCCCCAGGCGCCCCGAAATCTTTAAAGCGTTGTGCGGACCAAACCGGGCTATGCCTGTGGTTTCTCCGGGGTGACGGTGGCCGGTGTTTGGATCCTGTGTAGGCTGTTACGGTCTTGAGCACAGGACCACAGGGCGGGGAGGCCATTTTCAGCGGCCTCGGGAGGCACTGAGGGCGGCTGGTGCCAGCGGGGGGGGCCTGTTCGGAGGCACTAGTTATCAGGACCCACTCGAATCCTGGACCTCGGTGACCGAGACCCACCACATCAGTGCAGGCGTGAGTGCAGCAGCCGCACGGCCACCCCTAGTATAAGCGTCTGCTGTGGCCGCAGGCCTGCGCTCACCGGCGCCCGCCATCCGGCAAGGGGCCCGCCCGCCGTGTGCCGGTGCATTAAGCTTGGAGGGGGACTTCAGCGTCTTCTCCCAGGGCTTTCTCCGGGAGACACGGTCCCCGCCTTCGTCTGGGCGTGGGCTCTTCTTCCAGCTCTGTTCGAAACTCTCTGAGGCTTTGTGTCCTCCTCCGAGCGGGGAGACTTCAGATGTTCGCATTTCCAGCAGAGACTGGGTTTGGCAGGGCGGGCCCCTTCTCGGGGTTCCAGCGTCTGCTCAGGTGTCCTGAGCACCCGCAGGACTGGCAGCCTTCTCCGGCCTCCTTTCCCGTTCTTCCGCCTGAACTTGGCCGTGGCGGCCGCCACTGTCCGTGATTACCTGTTTCTCGTTTCCTCCCTGGTGGTCTGTCTTCCCCACCGTGTTGCGCGTCGTCCTGGCGTACGCTGGGAAGCGGAGACAATGGTAAATTTTTAATCGGTGTTGCCAGTTTCACCCCAAAATAGGTCATCCCAATTTATGCTCCAGCCAGCAGCGTGTACGACAGACCTGCTTCTCCACCTCTTGGCTAACCCTGGATGCTCTCAAGCTGTGCAGCTTTTGTTGCTGTGATAGGGATAGAAATGGCTTATTTTGCATTTCTTTGGTTATTCACCAAGTTGAGCATCTTTTCTAATGTTAGCTAACCTTCAATATTCCTTTTCTAAATTGTTGACTTTTAGAAAGCAAAATTGGGGGAGGGGGTGAGAGCGAGCAGGGAAGTTCTCAGGAAGGAATTGCCATGTGGACAGACATCCCCCAGATATTCTAGTTAAGACAGTTTCTGAAAGGAATCAGACTCTGCGAGAAGAATATGCTCTAAAATAAGAAGACTGTTCGTAAGCTTCCATAATTGTCTATGAAGAGAGGAATGTTCTAGGCACCTCTGGAAACCTCTGAGGGCAGTGGCACAGAGGACAGACCTCTGCTCCCCCCACCTCCCCAGCTGTCAGACTGCTGGACCCCACAGACAACACTGAGCAGTAGACTTTTTAGAACAGTGCGAGTGCTCTGATCTTTGCAGTGACTCTGAGCACTTGAACCTGGCAAAAGTGTAGTGAGAATGTGCAGCTGTATTTTATATACTACTTTCAATTGCATTTATTCTTTTTTTTTAAAATTTTTTAATGTTTATTTTTGAGAGAGAGGGAGAGAGAGCGAGCATGAGCAGGGGAGTGCGAGCAGAAAGAGAGATAGGGAATCGGAAGCAGACTCCAGGCTCTGAGCTGTCAGCACAGAGCTCAGCACGGGGCTTGAACCCATGGACCGTGAGATCATGACTTGAGCTGAAGTTGGTCTCTCAACCGACTGAGCCACCCAGGCTCCCCAACTTTCAACTGCATTTAAATCTAAGTGGCTTCATGCAGCTAGTAGCTACCATAGTGGTCATCGTGGCCGTAGATCATCATCTTTACTAACATTCCTTTGCATTGTGCTTTCCCCATTTTAGGCACTGTTGTGGGTGTTGTTCTTTACACTGGCAGAGAACTCCGGAGTGTCATGAATACCTCAAATCCTCGAAGTAAGGTGTGTATGTGGGTCCTAAGATGCATCTCCTTGTCAGAACTTTTCAACTTGATGTTTCTTGATGATTGGCATTGGCTGGGTGAGGAGCTAGATTTCTTTTTAATGTTTATTTATTTTTGAGAGAGTATGAGCAGGGGAGGCGGAGGGGGGCGGGACAGAGGATCCAAAGTAGACTCTACCGTGACAGCAGAGAGACTGACGCTCGATCTGTGAGACCGTGACCTGAGCTGAAGTCGGATGTTCAACCGACTGAGCCACCCAGGCGCCCTGAGGAGCTAGATTTAAAGATGGTAGGGGCGCCTGGGTGGCTCAGTCGGTTGAACATCCAACTTTGGCTCAGGTCATGATCTCACTGTCTGTGGGTTCGAGCCCTGCATTTGTCAGGCTCTGTGCTGACAGCTCTGAGCCTGGAGCCTGCTTCCAATTCTGTGTCTCCCTCTCCTCCCTTGCTCGTGCTCTGTCTCTCTCAAAAGTAAATAAACATTAAAAAAAGTTAAAAATAAAGACAGGAACACCTAACCATGTTATTTCACATATATAAATTTACTGTCTTTTCACATATGTGTGTGTGTATATATGTACCTGCAGATGCACTCATGTAACACATAAGCATGTATGCATATGTACGTGTGTGAATTCATAAAAGTTTTAAAGCTTTTAAGTTAACACTGGTGAGCACCTACTGTGTGCCATGAGCTCTCTCTCCTTCACACACATTCCAGTTAACCCTCACCCCAGCCCCGCAGCCCAACTGCTTCCTCAGGCGCGTGTGAGCCGAGCGGTGGCCTTGAGAAGCACCGAGCCGCACGGTGAGGAAGCGGCAGCCTCGGACTCACAGGCCCCGCTGACGACCGGCTGCGGCCTGGAGGTCTGTCTGGTGGTGGCCCCGTTAGCGCTTCTTTCGCACCGTGACCCGCCCTCCCAGCCCTCTCCCTCCTGCAGTTTTGAGGAGCCAGACACTGCAGAGTGTCTCCTTTGTCCACGCCGTGGACGAGCCCTGTGTTTCCCAAACTGTGGTCACTGCCGCTCGGCGTCACGACCATCATCACAGCTGCAGTGCCCGTGTTCAATGTGTCGCCTTCTCCCGGGCCCTGTTTCTGCCAAGTTACGGCTTTTGTGTGCCAGTTACGTTTTTTTACATACACATCGACGTAACTATGTAATGATTAAAGTCATCGTGCTCAGTAGTGCGGCACTGACACGTCAGGTACCGCGGGAGCGCGTGCCCTGAGCCCTCAGGCGGTACTGGCTCAGTGTGTGCGGCTCCCAGAGTGTGGGGCGGAGTCATTTTAAGGCCGCGGCGGAGGATGGTTGACGCCGTGCCATGCAGAGCGCCGCCAGATGCAGCAGTAGCCTGCTTGTATGTTTGCAAGTCTCCATCTTCTTCTTTTTCTTTAAGTTTATTTCTGAGAGAGAGAGTGTGTGCCTGTGCACGAGTGGGGGAGGGGCAGAGAGAGAGGGAGAGAGAGAATCCCAAGCAGACTCTGAGCAGTCAGCACGGAGCCCGATGGGGGGCTCGATCCCACAAACTATGAGATCATGACCTGAGCCGAAATCAAGAGTCAGATGCTTAACTGACTGAGCCCCCCAGGTGTCCCCAAGTCTAAATCTTCTTATCGCTAAAAAACAATTTGGAATCTGGATGTTTTGAGGCTCTCTGGATGTCGGTTAGGAGCTCCAGCCCAGGGAGCCCAGCGTTCTCCACCAAAGGTTCAGGGATTGACGGGTCCCAGTGCCTCACCTGGGGTGGGGGCTTCTCGAGCGCAGGACCGGGTCTCCGGGGCGGCCGTGGGTCACGCCGGCGCCCACAGCTCTGCTTTGTGGCTTGTCCCCCAGATCGGCCTGTTTGACCTGGAAGTGAACTGCCTCACCAAGATCCTCTTCGGCGCCTTGGTGGTGGTGTCGCTGGTGATGGTTGCCCTTCAGCACTTCGCTGGCCGCTGGTACCTGCAGATCATCCGCTTCCTCCTCTTGTTCTCCAACATCATTCCCATCAGGTGAGCAGAGGACGAGCCGTGGCATTGTCTTCTCTTTGCTTGTGGCCCCCTTAAGAACGACCACCGGGAAGAGTCAGGGTCAGGAGCATGAGCCACGCTCTGCGGCCGTAGCAGCGGGAGGAAGGGCGCCCTCCGCCCGGGCCCATCCTTGCCCGAGTCAGTCTTTGCTCCAGAGATCTTGCCCGCTCTGTGCCAGGGCTGCGACTCAGAGGTCATCCCCTCTGCCAGCTCAAGAGGCCGGGAGTGGCCGCTGGGAGCGCTGTGTTGAGTCTGGGCTCCGAGGGAGATACAGCGGGGATGACCCCTGAAGGCATCATGCCGAGTGGAACCAGCCAGTCCCCGAAGGATAAGTCTGTGCGATTCTTCTCCCGTGAGCTGCCTAGAGCGGTCGAATTCAGAGAGACGGAGAGAAGATGGGTGGGCTCCGGGGGCTGGAGCAAAGGGAGAATGGGGTGGTGTTTCATGGGTGTGGAATTGCAGTTTGGGAAGATAAGAAGTTCTGGAGATGGATGGTCGGTGACGCTTTACACCAGGGTGACCGTACTTAGTGGCATTGAGCTGTGCACTTACCGGTTTTCTTGGTAAATTTGTTAATGTATATTCTGGCACCTCTTAAAACAATACGTTATCAAACTATGTTAGCTCAGAGGACCAGTATTTAGGGGAAAAAAAGTAAGACTAAGACAACTACCTTTTCAGTATTTTTAAAGCACTTAAAGGCTTCAGGGGAGTTCTCTGCCGGCGGTGTGGCCTCTCGTCGCAGCCACAGGGCCGTGCATCTCCAGGGGCCGGTTCCACATGTTCTGGCCCAGATGATGGGCGTTCCACCCTGTTAACCTGTGCGCTCTGCTTTCCTGACCAGCCTGCGTGTGAACCTGGACATGGGCAAGATCGTGTATAGCTGGGTGATTCGGAGGGACTCGAAAATCCCCGGCACTGTGGTTCGCTCCAGCACCATCCCCGAGCAGCTGGGGAGGATTTCCTACCTGCTCACAGACAAGACAGGTGAGCTGCCCCCTGGGCCTTCGCAGGCCTCCTGGTGACGGGAGGTGCCTGCGTTCTCTTTCTGGGGGTGTTAGAGACGGATGCCGCCGCTGCACCTTTCGGTGAGGGTCGATTATTTGGTGATGACGATGGTGACGGCCTTCACTGCAGGCAGCCTGGCTTCACGTCCTCATAACCACACCCCAGAATGCTTCGCAGTTTCGTATCAGAGTGGCTAGAGTGGGGGTACTGGGGCTTCAGCTTTGTCTCTACCAGTTAGTGGCTATGGGATAGAAGAGTCTGTTAGAAAGGTCTGGGGCGGCTCACCAAATCAGAGAAAAAAATAGGTTTCAGGAAGGAACAGAACCAGAAAGTTTCTGGGTGCGTTAGCATCAGAATCCCTGGGATGGTCTCTGTAGGGCTCCACCACTGGGGTGAACTTGACCCTGTTCATCTTCTGTCCATGTATCTGTCTGCTTAGGGTTCAGGTTCCTTCAGGCTAGAATCTAGTGTACGTCCTGTGTCACCATCTTGGCCAACAGAATGAGTCCGGCACCCTGGCCGACTCTCCCTCTAGAGCAGCCCGGGGACTGACAATGGTCACGCCCCCATGGAAACCCAGGATGCCATCTTCTAAAGAAGAGGACTTAGATTCTGGGCAGGACAAACGCCACAGAGGCCTGCCCTGCAGGGGCGGCGCGGGGACCCGCGTACGACAGCTAGTGGGAAGATTTCCGCAGACGGCAGCCGCCATCACTGTTACTAATGGCTCCGGGATGTAGGGTCAGTTACTCGTTTGTCTTGTGTTTCAGGAACCCTTACCCAGAATGAGATGGTTTTCAAACGGCTGCATCTGGGCACCGTGGCCTACGGCCTCGACTCCATGGACGAAGTACAGAGCCACATATTCAGTATCTACACCCAGGTAAAACCTTCGGTTCTGATGCCTCAGACGTTTCCTTTGCATTTATGAACACTTATGTTGAGATAACTTTGATCACACAGTACGTACAGTACAGTTCGCCCAGTTAATGTGTGCAGTTCAGTGGGTTTAGTATATTTATGGAGCTGTGCGCCTGTCACTGCAGTCGTCTCGTCCTCATCACCCGAGAGAGGAACCATGTACCCGACCGCCGTCATCCCCGCTCCTCCCCAGCCACCTCGCCTTCCACACCCATGGTGACCATCCATCTGCCTTTGTGTTTCAGCTGAAATTGTAGTTGAGATTTCCTCCATCTTCTCCCTTCCTGAGTTAACCTGCTCTACTGAAATGCCTACGGCTGTTAGGGAAAACCTAATTGTTTGCCTGTTAATGAGCACCGGAAATAGCTTCAAGAGCCTACTGGTCAGTGTCACTTCCTTTTCCTGGTTAGGAGCCAGAGCAGCGGGAATGAGCGATCCGCTCCTGAAACAGTATCGCCGATCAGCTTCTGTGGTCAAGTCCGCGCAGGACATTAGCCTGTCAGAGATGGCCTGCGCCTCTGCTCCCACGTTGTTTTCCACAGGGTTTTTCAAAATCGATCCTTTTTTTCACAGAAGAGTATTACTGGCACGTGTCCTAATATTCCTGAAAAGTTACACCAGTGGCTCCCTACCTCGGCTCTTTGAAATTGCTGATGTTTTAAATGCAAAATGGAACAAAAACAAAAAGAAGACCCGAGGGATTCTGAACCATTAAGATTAGGGGAGAGCTGGGCTTCTGTGTTTTTTTAAAAAAAAATTTTGATGTTTGTTTATTTTTGAGAGAGACAGAGTGTGAGCGGGGAGAGCAGAGAGAGAGGGAGATGCTGAATCCAAAGCAGGCTCCAGGCTCTGAGCTGTCAGCACAGAGCCCGCCGTGGGCTCACGATGCTAGAACTCACGAACCGTAAGATCATGACCTAAGCTGACGTCAGACGCTTAACCGACTGAGCCACCCAGGCGCCCCTGGGCTTCTGTGTTTTAATCTTAAAATGAGGGGCGCCTGGATGCCCAGTCGGTTGAGCATCCGACTCTTGATTTTGGCTCAGGTCATGATCTCACAGTTTGTGGGTTCGAGCCCTGCGTTGGGCTCTGTGCTAACAGGGCAGATCCCACGTGGGATTCTCTCTCTCCCTCTCTGCTTCTCCCGCACTTGCTCTCTCTCAAAACTAAATAAACTTAAATAAATGTAAGGTAACACACCAACAAATGCCTTGGGAATTCGGACACGCATCAGGGCTGACTGACTGCTCACCCTGGTCCATGTTGTGGCTCTTGTTTGGAGATGAGAATAAAGAGCCCATGTTTTGCGTAAATTTGTCAAATTAGACGATGCTTTTGTTGTCAGAGGTCCAGTTAGAGATGTGCAGGAAGTATTGCTCTTTGGGTTAAAGGTGGAATCCAGGAATACTTCACGGCACAGTTATATTGGGCAGCTAATCTTCTGGGACATTCGCTGGGGGGCGTGCCGGGTGTCCAGGGTTATCTCCTAAACCAGGCAGGGCAGGCGATACGGTTGGGAAGTGGGAGTGGATTTTCGGTGGAGGACAGTTAGTCTGACCCTGTAGCTCTTCGAGGCTCCCGTGTGGGCCTTCGTGGCTTGTCTCCAAATGGATCCACCGACCATTTTCAAAGATGTGCTTTAGGGTTCTTGAAAAATCACGAGGACTGTGTCAGACAGGAAGGGAAGGCCACAGCCAACCCGGTTCCTGCCCCTCTCTGACCCGTCTGCCTCTGTGGCGCTGGCGCCCCCGGGAGCCCCGGGGCCTGTACCTCCGTCCCAGGTGGTCCCCTCGCTGCCTGCGGCCCCCACCTGGAGCTTTGGACCTGGAGACACCCGCTCGCTTGCGTGGCTGCATGTAGGTGGTGAGGCCCGCACCCCGCAGCCCTGACCCTCCCTCCTCCGCTACCCCTGCTTCGCTTCCGCGGTTCTCATCATAGTGGCTGCCGCCGCCTGCTGCGCTGCTCCCGCCAAGGGTTTGAGAAGCGCCCCTTCCTTCCCCATCCTCTCCCGCCTTGGGTCCCAGGCCGATGGTGATGTCTGCTCCCTCCCCATCACTCCCTCCTGGCTGTCTGCATCCCTTCTCACTCGCTAGAGCCCAGCTACGCTCACCCTTGCTCGGCTGTCTGCCGGCTCCCTCCTGACCCCCCCCCCCCACATGGCTTCCCTGCTTCTCCTGGGAGCACAGGGTCCCCCTTGTACTGTTCGCTCCCTCTTGGGGCTGAGACACGCACGTGGTCCAGGCGTGGCCCCTGCTCGCTGAGGGCAGGGGGAGCTGCCTCGGAACAGACTCTTCCCTCTGAACCATCGACCCCCAGATGCCTTCCAGGCCACCCCCCCTCCCCCCGCAAGGGGCCCGCTCTGTGGGTGGTCACGCTTCCCAGCGCCTGGCCGACCATCCCTTCCTCCCAGCCCCCTTCTCAGGGCCGCTGGCCCCTGACATGACACTGCACGGCTTCACGGTTGTGGTGCGGGTCCCCACAGGGGACACACCCTTCCCCGTTCTCCCCATGTCGGTGGGGCTTCCGTGAGCCCGTTCGTGGTGTTTACAGAAACCGTCCCTTCTTGGGATATTTGCTTAGTTTAGCTTTTATGGTCCATTTTCACTTTAGCACAGATAACGCTCTTAGTCAAGTGTTAAAAGGCAGAAAATGACACGTCTTACCATGAACTCTACTCCACACCCCTTCCTTAGCAGAAGCTCATAAATTGCTTTGCCCATCCTGGCCTTGGGTTTAAAATACCTCAGTGGTGCAGGGTGAGGTCGTACCTCAGTGTTACAGGGTTAGGTCGTCTGGCGGCCGGAGCGAGCTCAGAATTACAGCACCCACCCGGCCCAGCAAGGCATGTCCTCTCTTCTCTCAGAACCTCTAAAAACCCTGCAGTGAGCACACAGTTTTCTGATGGGGCTGGGAAGGCTTTCCCAGATTTTTTTTTTTTTTTTAATAAAGTCATCTACTGTGGAACCTGGAGTCTTTTTTTTTTTTTAATGTTTTTTTTTTTTTTTTTTACTAGGAGAGAGAGACAGCGTGAGCAGGGGAGGGTCAGAGAGAGAGGGAGTCACAGACTGAAACAGGCTCCAGGCTCTCAGCTGGCAGTCAGCACAAAGCCCAAGGCGGGGCTCGAACCCATGAACCGCGAGCTCATGACCTAAGCGAAAG